GTAACAACAACAACAGGCTACCAAAGCTCCTTTATTATGATTATACAGCAAAGCAATTACATTTGTTTTTGTTGTTGTTGTCATGTTCCATCGAGTTATTTGTGACTCATAGTGACCATATTATGTATAACAGCTTTGAACCCTGCTCTATCCTGAACCAACCTTATTTTCTCACATGCCTACCCCCATTACCTCAGTTACTGAGTCAATCCATTGCCTTTGGCATATTATTAATTACATGAATTAGAGTAAAATATATATATTTTGGTTTGTATGACAGAAGCACTTTGCTAAAAACAAAACAGTGTATATGAACTTTGTCAATAAACCAGAATAAATTTTTTTTAAAATGACAAAAACACCCCATAAAAAACAAAACAAAAATTATAATAAACTTATAGGAATGACATTTTAAAGAACATAAAAAACTATTAAATCCCCAAAATCCACTGCTGTCAAGTCAATCCCAATGTAAAGTGGCCTTGCATTGGGTTTCTGAGACTGTGAACTTTTAGGGGAGGAAACTATTCTTCTTGCTCCCAGAGATTTGAATGCTGACATTTTTATTACCAGCAAAACATGTTCCACCAAAGCTCCTGAAAATTAAAAATAATAATGGAGGCTTTTTAAAAGAAAAAATTAAACTCAGCAATTTAAAAATTTAATAAAAGCAATTTCATATGGACAATGTTGGAGAAGTACACGATTAAAGGATGAAGAGACATAAATATCTTCCTTATATTGTGGAGGTAGAAAGGCAGCCTAATCAACCCCAAACCACTATGTGTGCTTTATGTCTCAGCTGAAGCTGAGGTTTGTTGTTTATTCTTATCAAGAAAATGCAAAAAAAATTCAGAAGTATTAGGATAACACATAATAAAACTTTATTAGAAAAACAACATATGTAAATATCTTCAGGACCATTGTGCTGTTAAGTTGCCTGAGACTCATAGTGACCTTATGTACAACTACTCTGAATCATGCTGTATTCTGAGCCAGTCTCACTGACTCATTGCCCCAGTCACTGTATCAGTCTATCTCATACGAGGTCTTCCTCTCCTGTGCTGTCCCTCCACACTTCTGAGCATGATATCCTTCTTCATGGGCTGGTCCCTATAGACCTTGTGAACAAATTAGGTGAGGCAGAGCTTCAAAATCCTGGCCTCCAGAAAGAAACTTGTTTCACTCTCTCCAAAACAGACCTATTTGTTCTCCTGATGGTCATGGTATGTTCAATACTATTCCAGAGCCACAACCATACTATGGACCATTTTACCAATTACGATGAAGTAATTTTCATTCCCATTTCTCTTTGAGAAAAGAGAAACTAAAAATGCATTCAGGGTATATTGGAAGTTTAGAACTAAAATCACAAGGAAAAAAATCGCTGAAATATTCTCCTTCCATATGTGAACTTAAGTCCAGTGTTCTGTCTTATATGTAGCAACTACCATCTGAAGGTAAAAGGATGGCTTGAGGTGAGTTGGTTTTGCTCACATTTTAATAGCAATTTAATCACTTTAAAAATTATTTACTTTGCTAATTGTGGTGTAGGTAGATATATAGTACAACATATGTGAAAAGTAAATACAGAAACATTTTTGTTTATAATATTGAGTGAAAAGAAAATAGGAAAGTATTTTCTTTCTGAATTTTATACAGTACTTGTAAAGAGGTCACCACTTAAAATA